CCCCCGCCCCCCCCCCAAACCAGCCCTCGATCCCAGCCCCTGGAGAGGACTCGCATTTCGACTTGCGGGACACTTTGTGCGTTTCTCTCTAGAGCGCCTCTCTCGCTCGCCCCTCCTGCGCTCGCTCTTTCTTACCCTCACCTCCTTTTTTCCCCCTTCTCTCCCTTTCTCCTCGTCCTCTCCTAGAGTTGTTGTTGTTGTTGTTGCCCCTCTTGCTTCTACTCCCCCCTTTCCCCCGTCCCCTCCCGGGGGTGTGTGGCAACTTTTCCCCTCTCTTCTCCTCCTTCTGTTTCCCCCCTTATATGTGACCATGGCAGTGCCGGCGGCTTTGATCCCTCCGACCCAGCTGGTCCCCCCTCAACCCCCGATCTCCACTTCTGCTTCCTCCTCTGGCACCACCACCTCCACCTCCTCGGCGACCTCGTCTCCGGCTCCGTCCATAGGACCCTCCGTGTCCTCTGGGCCAACTCTGTTCCGGCCCGAGCCCATCGCTTCTTCGGCGGCGGCGGCGGCGGCGGCCACAGTCACCTCTCCCGGCGGCGGCGGCGGCAGCGGAGGCGGCAGCGGAGGCAACGGAGGCGGCGGCGGCGGCGGCGGCGGCGGCAGCAACTGCAACCCCAGCCTGGCCGCCGGGAGCAACGGCAGCAGCGGCAGCGGCGGTGGCAGCATTAGCGCTGGCGGCGGCGGCGCCTCCAGCACCCCCATCAACGCGAGCACCGGCAGCAGCAGCAGCAGCAGCAGTAGCAGCAGCAGCAGCAGTAGTAGCAGCAGCAGTAGCAGCAGCAGCAGCAGCTGCGGCCCCCTCCCCGGGAAACCCGTGTACTCAACCCCGTCCCCAGTGGAAAACACCCCCCAGAATAATGAGTGCAAAATGGTGGATCTGAGGGGGGCCAAAGTGGCTTCCTTCACGGTGGAGGGCTGCGAGCTGATCTGCCTGCCCCAGGCTTTCGACCTGTTCCTGAAGCACTTGGTGGGGGGCTTGCACACGGTCTACACCAAGCTGAAGCGGTTGGAGATCACGCCGGTGGTGTGCAATGTGGAACAGGTTCGCATCCTGAGGGGACTGGGCGCCATCCAGCCCGGAGTGAACCGCTGCAAACTCATCTCCAGGAAGGACTTCGAGACTCTCTACAATGACTGCACCAACGCAAGGTAAAGAGCAGAGTGTAGCCTCTGCCGCCCCCAGCCCCTTCCCACCCGCCTCCTCGCCCTTTCCTTGCTCCCTTTCCGGCTCTGCTTGCTCCGCGCGCCCGCGAGCCGCGCGTCCTTGCGAGCGCGGCCCTCTGGTTTTCTTCTTTGGAGCTCGCCAGCCGCGCCCGACCCCCTGACAAGTTGGCACTTCACTCTGCCCAAATCTAGCTCTCTTTCGGCCGGGTCAATCTTTGCTCGACTGGCCGCCAGCTCTTGGATGCTGTGGGGCTTGGGAACCCCAAGACTCAGGGCGGAGGGGGCGGGAAGGAGGACGGCGCCTTTCTAGGAGCCACTGCCCCTTCCCGGCGCGCGTCGGCTTCTGGGAACCTCTCTCCGAGCTGTTGCCGGAGTGTGCGCTCCCAGGGACCTGGGTTCCACCGCAAGCCTCTGGGCACCTCCCGGGGGCGGGGGGAGGTCGTGACCCTGCCCCGCAGGGTTTTTGGAGCAAGGAGACACTCTCCGGGTGAGCGGCCGGTTAGGAGGCCAAGGGAGTGGGTTGGCAGTCGACGAGGGCACTTTGAGGTCAGATAGGGAACGACTCCTGAGGCTGAGAGACCCTGGGCAATCCCCGGGTACAGACACTCAGGGAGTTCAGCCCCAAGTCCCAAGGGACAGCTTTTCGAAAGGAAGGTCCGTGTGTGTGCGCATGTGTGTGTCCGCGTGTGAGCGTGTGCGTGTGCAAAGGAAATAAAGGGGTTATGATTGCCCCAAGACAGATGCGAGGGCACCAGCAGGTTTTCTTCTATTGGGGAAGGTGAGCGGGTGCCCCAGACTTTAGAAAGCCGAACTAGGGAGACTGGAAAGGAAGACCACAGCGCGTTCGCTTGCTCACTCATTTCAAAGTGCGACTTCTTTTTTCATTTCTTTCTTTTTCTCTTCTTTCTTTCGTCTTCTTCTTCTTCTTCTTCTTCTTTTTTTTTTTTCAAAGGCCAGTAGCTCCCCCAAGGAGCAGGTGCACGTTTTGCACTGGGATGCTCTGCGGGCCTGAATACTTGTCTTCGCTGGCTTTCCAGCCCCGCAAAGGCGCGCCCAGAGGCGGCTTCAGGATAGGTCCCGGGGCCCTACCAGTTTTATGCTAATGATGTTCAGTGGGGGAGGTTCTACCAGGAGGGGGCGGGAGTGGGGTAACTTGTCAATTTGGGGTAGAAATGAAGATTCCACTCGCTTTCGCAATTCCGCTTTGTCCCCACCACCGCTCGCTTCAGGGAAGCGCAGAGGGAAAAGTTCAGAGATTCCTAGAGAAAGCGACTACGGAAAGTTGGAGACCACAGGCAGGCACGTGGGAACAGGGCGCAAAATTTAAGTGGAATAAGTGGAAACTTCCCTACCTTCCAAATAAGTTTAAAGACCGAAGGAATGGAGTTAGTGTGTGTCCCTAGAAGAGCTAGGGAAGCTGAAGTGGAAGGAAAGAGAGGAGACCAGGTAAAAATGAGAATGAAAAAAGCCTCTAGCAATTCCTTCCTTGGAGAAAGATTCCTGGGTACTGCTGGAGAAGGTTGTAAACCCCAAAAGACTCAAACTCAAAGAAGCACTTGTCTTATCCCGACCTTGCTAGACATTCTTTTCCATGTTTATTTGCCTTTCTTCACATGAAACAAAGATGTATATCTCGGTTTTGAACCTTCAATTCGAATTTTTTTTTTTTAGTATATTCTGTGTGTGTGTGAGTGTGTGTGTGTGTGTGTGTGTGTGTGTGTGTATGCGCGCATGAGTGCCCAAGTGCATGGGCAGGTGGCAGTAGAGATGGGGGTGGGGGTGACCATGATCACTAAACATCATTTACTCAGACAATTGGAGTTCTTACTCACGTACTCATCCATAAGGTAAAATATTTGCCCCAAATCCATTAAAACTATTCGAACCAGGACAGACTATTATTTTGGAGTTGTTCTGAAGAATGTTATGTAAAAATTAAGTCAGTTCAAATCCGATTGTTACAAAATTGGCTGTCCAATAAATGGGTAACTGGCTGGTTTTCTCCGAATGCTGTGTGTGCACGCGCGTTTTGTGTGTGTGTGTGTGTGTGTGTGTATGGAACACATTGTACGAGATAATCAATGCCCATTTTAGTACACACATTCACAATTGTTTGAGAAAAGTTCCTTCAGTGACTGCATTATAATGTTGTAATCAATGTAACACTTGATTATTTTTATTTTGTGAATTTTTGTTCAGACTTTAAAGTCCTCATCAAATGGTTGAAGAATACTCCTAAAGTTATTAACTAGACATTTTAAAAAGTTTTTTCTTTTTTCCCCTGAGATTAACAGCTCTGAGTTTAAACTTTCAGAACTAAGATAAGTTAAATCCAGTGGAACTGTTCATCCCTCCAAAAATATCTCATCATTACTCTAATTATGTTTCAATTACCTGGCCTTAATACTTTGCAATTAAATGTGTTGTTCTAAAATCCCATTTTAGGTTATTTTTAAATTAAATATGGGAAGTTTATTGATTTAATTTTGAATTTTGATCTTATACCAACTAAAAAGCTTGCTCAAACTTAAATACATGCAAATATGTAGTCATTAACCTGAGAAGAAGTGTAGTTGTTGATATCTACCTAGGTTTTCCTAACTCTGTCATTGACTAAGGAAATAGAAAATTTGTAATTGAAGGGTTCAATCCCCACCACAGCAAGGAAAAGAAAAAGGAAATTTAAATTTAAAATTGAACTATCCTTCACCAAAATGTACTGTTTGCATATTACAATGCTGACATCATTATTTTCAATGGTAATTACCAGTGTTGTTGTTTTATTTCTTTACTTTGAAAGCAACAATCTAAATATTTTGCATTTTAAATTAAAAAAATTCCATTTTATTTAAATCCAATTTACAACTTTGCTTTTAAAAATCTTTTTTTTTTCATTTATCTAGACATATTGATCCTTTCACTCTTGTTTCTACTCTAGCTATTTAACAGACTAAGGACATAATTTACACAGACTATAAGAGAAATAGTGCAAGAAGGCAAATTATATAAAGTTACATGTGTATATGTTTGTATTTATATATAGTGTATAGGTAGTATTATGAATACATAGGTACACATGGTGTGTGTGTGTGTGAGTGAAAGAAATATCAAATCTTAGTACTCTCAGATTTTTATAGAACATATATCTAATTATGACTCTCAGAACTACTTAATACCAGGAAATCCAAGGAACCAAAATGATGCTAAAGAAAAGAAAGGCTCATAAATTGGAGTTTATGCTTAAAGTGGCTCAGTAAGTTAGCAGCAATCCTTAGAGTAGAGTTGATTTGCCTGGGACCCTTGTATTTGTATGCTGTCTATGAAAACTGGAGTAAATGTTTAAGCCATCTGTCATTACCACTAGATGATGAAAAAGAGACTATCACCTGCTAGATAGTAAAACTAAAAAGTGTAGGTCTCAAAACATGAAAGAAAATGTAAGGAACTATATTTAAAAGTTGTCAAGGGGCAAACTCTGACCTTTTCCAGCTTCCTCCAATTATTATTTTAAAACTAAACATTAGTTGCATGGACTTGTCTATTGCAATAGAGGTCACTTAATTAACTGCTAACCATTAAATAACAACAACAACAACAACAAAAGAAAAGTAATTATGTACATGATGAAGTCTCTGTTTGCACGAGTCAATTGCTGTCTGTAGATTTGGGTTAGGATTCATCTTTCTGTGAATTCAAGTAATAAAATGTGACTCTTGTGTTATGTTATCTAACATGCTTATTTCTTTGATTATTGTCAGAAGATGATCTTGTCTCATGATCTTTCAAACCAGATTGTGATATAACTTCTATATAGCTCTAAATTTGGGAAATTTTAAACTTGAATAGATTCAAGTTAGTTTTATTAGACATTTTATATATATATACACATATATTAACAAATAATATTGTTTTCCTTAAAAGTTGATACCATTCATGGACATAAAATTGAAAGACTTGCTAAGCCTTTTATGTTTAAATAGAAATATCTGAACAAAATTTTAGTATAAGAAGTATAAGATTTTTTTTTCTAGTTCTTGGCTTGATTTTTCTTGTCAGGAGTTTTAATAAAGATGGCAAGCTGAAACAGTCTATATTTATTTAACATTTCCCCTGTTGCCTGTTTTTCAATGGCACAGACTCATGCATCGATAAAGTTTCAACACAAATACAGATTCACTCTTTCTAACAGATAATTATGATACTTGGCACTGAGAAATTCAAGGATTACTTCAAATGAAGAGAGGCTATGCTTTTGAAGTTTTTGTATTACAGTAGATTAATGGTTCCTATAAAGCCTAGTGTCTCATTTTATAACATTTCAAAAGGAATGCAACATAATTAGAAGACCAAGGCATAAAATATGAAAGTTTGTTTGGTCCCTGAACTTATTTCTCTCTACTTTAAATATGTTAGAAAATTGCAATTTAATAACAAATGTATGAATAAAATAAAAATATTCTAACCTAGATTTACATGGCTCAAATACAGTTGTTTGGGTAGTATCTTTCAACCTGATATTTTTCTTGGAATTAGTCTCCAAAAATATCACAGTCATTATTGTTAAAAGTGCACTTGGTTATTAAGATGTTTTGCTTTCTGAACTCTATAGTTTATCAGTTAATGCTCTAAGAGAAGAAATTTGATTTGTACAAATTATGTTTTATTTTGTGACACTTCAAATATTACAAAGAATGAAGACCAGGACAGGCTTTTTCACTCCGTGTTCTCTTACACAGTTTTAAGCATTTTGTGTAGTATTTTTAAATCATTACTTTATTATTAAAATCTGCTGCTGCTTTTTGTTTAATCTATTATATTTCACTGAAGTTGTATACAAATTACTGAGACAAATACTAGCCACCCTCTTTTTGCCTCGATACTACCCCCAGTCCCCTGAGATGTGACACCCAATATTGATTAAAGTCTTGGCAGGATTTGAGCATAAATCACCCGTCTCTTTGGCGATTTACTAGGTGTGATTCACC